GAGGGATGTGGGAGGGGAGGGGGGGGGGGTGGGTGGTGCAGGGGGAGGGGAGTGGTGGTTGGGGGGTTTGAACCACATGAAGATGAAAGAGTAAATCCATTTCAACTGATATCCATTCCCCTAAAGTGTGGGTTTTACGGCGATAACTTATGTAACAGTTGGGAGTTCGAGAGATTCAGAAGATTTCTATTGAGTAATGAATTTACACATTCTATGATAACCCTCGCAAGTTTCCACAGAAAGCAATGGTCACAAGCATTGATTATAAAAATGGGAAGCAATAAAAAGAAAAGGTTTTCCATGCCCCCAAGCAAGGTGTAAGAACCAGTTCATCGGAGAAAGCGAGTACTGCCAAGCCTTTTGCTTCTTGTTGAATAATCATAAGCAAAAAATTTCGGATGCAAAAACATGGGCTACAGTAGCCCCTTTTGCTGCTATAGAAGAAGTGCACATGGGTCGTGGCCATAAACAAAATTGGAACCTAGGACCTTTTCACAACAACCAATAGGATTCAAAATTGGGAATTATTTACTTGAAACAGGGTATTGGGACCCAAGACCTGTTAGTGGAGGTTGAGCACCACACTAACGGGGATAATTGCTACATTTCGGTGCCTCTAAACCAAGCTTGTATATTTAGGGCCAATTTTATAAGACAACCATGAAATAAAACCATAATAACAAATTCTAAGGTTTGCATTATCATCAAATCAAAACATCCATAACATCAGTTTTATCCTTAAAAAGTATGAAAATAGCATGGGAATCACAAAAACTTCCTACACAAAACTCAAGTCCAGAAAATTGTGTAGCTACTGGGAAACATCGATCACATAATCAAAGGATTGAAATGCTTATTCAAGTACGAGCAGGAACAGGGGCACCAGCAGGTCGAGGACCTTGGCCAGGCTGACCAGGCCTTGGGGCATCATCCTGAAAATCAAAATTTCAGCATATCAGGTAAGCTAAGGATATACCGTCGGCCTTCTATAGGCATGTCCTTTTGAATTGGGCTAACATGCATGTGCCAAGTGCAAAACAGGAATATGTAAGCAGGCAAAATCAAGTTATGTTTTACTATTTTCCTTAAAGTAAAGGATGAAAACTAACAAATAAAGAATACAACTCGACATGACTAAAAGGAGAGAAGATATGACCAGACCTTATAATGACTAGTAAACATAAAATAGATGGCCACATAAATCAAACATATGATAAACGCATGTGATAAAGAACCATAAAAACGGTTGTAAAAAAGTATATTGAAGAGAACTTGACAGTAAGGAAACGAAACATAGTTCCGGATCAACCAATGAAATGTAAAGGTTTCAGAAAAGCTTGTCAAGATATAATCTTGAGATTACATGATTACATTTGTTCTAGTACAAGAACATGAAGACATAATTTTCTATCATTCATCCCATTGTAATCAACAAATATCGGTATCTCTGACAACAAGGTTGGAAGGACCCAGATTTTTGTTGGGCTCTATTGCAAATTGCCCCAATGTGATTTGAGAATGACAAAACTGAACAAGCCATGAATCAATGAGAAACTTACCCTGCGTCTGATGAATCGCTGTGGTGGCTCACGGTTCCTCCTGTTGGTGCGAGATCGCACCCTCACAACGTGAGAGTGAATTGCGCAGGAAACGCAGTACTGCATCTTGGCATACAATTTTGGCAGAGTGTATTCTACATATCACAAACGAAAAACAATCATTTACATATTTATCTATTTGTAATTTGCAATTTTCACCACTCTATCCAATTTACATTTTCACTACGGAGATAAATGAATGAGAAAACAGAGAAATGAGGGAAAACTGAAACTTACGCTCATAGACACAAGCTTCCTGGACATCTCTAACCGCAGCTTGCTCAACAATGTTCCTCACCAAGAACCTCTTGATGGCCTTGTCCTATTTCACCATCAACACAAAATCAAAACCAATCAATCACATATTTATAAGATGCACAAACGTATAGATACACAGACGTGTCTGTATGTATGTATGTATGTATACGCATACCTTAGGGCAGCACTTGCCGCAGTTAGAGCAGCGGATGAACTTGACGTGTCCACGGCCGTGCTTGTTACGACCACCATTTCGGCGCTTGAAAGTCTGCAGAGAGAACAAAAAAACGATAATTAAGCAAAAAGAAAACAGAGAACAGAGAGATGGAGAAGACATAGTGGTTGAGGGTGAAGATCGGACCATGATTTTCCAGAAGAGGGAGACGAGATCTGGAGCTTCGGGGTCGTCGGCTCAGGCTAGCTAGGGTTTTCGCTGCTCACAAGCCAGAAAGTAAGTGGTTTTGGGAAGGCTTCTGTTTTATATGGGAGAGTGGCCTGGCGCCCTAGCCAAAAAAACGCCCCTTCATTTGTTGGAAATTTGTAATTACCTCCCCAAAGGTTTTGGTTTTCCGCCTTTTAAGCCCAACAGTATCAATTTAGGTATGAGAGCATAAAAAATAGGATTAATATAGGGTATTTTTTTTTTCGAACCAAAAAAAAATATAGGGTTTTTTTATAATTATTTTTAAACATAAAACAATTTGTTTTTTTATTTATAAAATAGCTAACAACAATCATGGTTGTTATCATTTAAAGATCCATAATTGTTTGTTATGGTTGAAATTTTGAAATTCGGATCTCTTGATTTTTGGTTTTTTTTTTTTTTTTTTTCTAGCATTTTAAAATAGTCTTAAACATATGTAAAATAGTTTTTCCTGACTTTTTCTTCAAAAGGAAATGCATTTTCTTCAAAACTTGTTAAGATGTTTACAGTCATTGGTATCAATATGAAAAGATCATCGATCGCTCACTGTTTTTTCAATACACAGTTATTTATTTCTATAAGATTTCAACATGGTTGGATCGCAACGATTTGAATAGTGCCTTACCCTCAACAAGCCCCTCAAAATCATAGCAAAAGTTGACGACAAAGCTTATTTCAGGCAGCAAAATAGACAAAGCTCCAATTACATACATAACTTATTGCATCAAACGATCAAACAGTGGAACAAACAAAAAAGAAACAAACAGTGATTAAATAAGTACAAAAACTCTTACACTATCTCAATTTCATACAAGATATGTCGATGATTAAATAAGGGGGTGGTCCTCATTTATCACATGGATAATTTTATTTCATCAACTCAACCAGCTGCAAATGCCACCTTCATTTGCTCATAGCCTCAAGGGCTTTCTTTCTCGTACACTTCGCTGGCATACTTCCAGTTGATTACTTTCCATATGTTCTTCAGATACTCTGGCCTCACATTCTTATACTGCAACATCACAAACAGATGTCTTAATTCATCTCACATGATACATGAGGAGCAAAGCAGGAAAATAATCACACAGATCAAAAACCACTGCTAAAAGAGCAAATAGAACCTACAATAAATCTTATAAGCTTTCATCATTGGGCTTGGTGGTAAGCGAAGCTGATTTTAAATTGAATAAACGATGAGTTCGTGTGAAGCCTTCAAAGTATTTATTTAAGATGCTAATTAAAAAATTTCCCCCATATGAAGGAGGCTGAATACAGAACATCATTGGGAAGAAAAAAAACCTGAATAAAAGCCTAAACGCAAACTTCATCACACAGGATGACCTTTCCCACGTAAATAATTCGACTCCAATGAGCAAAAAATGATTGTTGTTTCATAAAGACAGTTTTAACACCCCTCTTAGACTCACTAGTTAAGAGAATACATCAATATGGATTGACTCTTATATACTACAGTTATAAACTGATGCCCCAATTGAGAATAATTGAAAGATTTTAACAGCTGTATGCATAAAGCCCTATACTTTTGCATCATTTATCTTTGTAAGCATAAGGAAGACAGAACTATTAAGAAATCTAGGAGAGGCAAATTTCCACAAGTTAAACTTACCTGTAAGTAGTACGCATGCTCCCAAACATCAATACCAAGCAATGGAACTAAAGTTGGTCCTTTGGTAACCAATGGGTCCTGAAACAAAATTAATCAGATTTACAAATATTCTGATGAAATAGAAGCACCACATGTGTGCGCTGCACATCAGTCAACTGTTATGAGTCCTAAAAGAATAAATCAAAAGAAGGCTATATTTGAACAACCTTTGCAGATCCTAAAATCTTAATATTTGAACAATCCTTAAAAGATGGGATAACATAAAAAAAGCAACAAATCTTCAACACAACGTTAGATCTAAACTTCTTAGAGTAATTCTAACCATGATAAGTCAACAACAAACAGTTCCTAAGCCTACATGATTACTGGAAAGAAGAAGGACCATAAGGGGCTAATTCATCAGGAGTCTAAACTACATCATAGTGAGAGGGCATCAGTCAACAGGCAGGATGGAGCTACGCAATTTGAATATGGCTAGAATTACTGTTAAGCAGACATAGAGTGAAATACTATACTAGTAGATGTAGATGGGTTTAAAGTAAATCTTGTGATGTTTACCTGATTTGCAGTGGTTTCAACCACAAGTTTCTTCAACTCTTTGTCTAGAGCCAACCACTGCCAAGAAAGATCAAAGAAGTAGGTGAACATACTGAATTTTGACTGAAGCATCTTGTCAAATGACATGAAACAAATGTTGGAAAAATCAACAACATGCAAAACTTACCACCCATCCAGAACCCTGCAAAGCAGCGCCTTCTGCATTGATCTTTTGCACTAATGCTTCCATAGAACCAAAATTTGTGTCAATAGCCCAGCCCAGGGAACCATGAGGGGGCTCACCACCTCCATGCTGCCGTGAACAAATCATTGCGGTATTAGGCAGATGAAGGCTTAAAAACAGGCTTGTAAGACAGATAGATGGAAATATGAACTTACACTAACAGGTGTCAGATTCTTCCAGAAAATCGAGTGGTTGACATGACCTGCAAGAATCAAAGTAATGGGATGACCAAATAATTCTATCTTAAAATAATGAATGAATTTGGGAATGGAAACAAGCAAAATAATGTAAAATGAGAAGTATTGCTTGCTTCTTGTTAAGATTAGATTGTCTTCGAGTTGACACCCAAAAATATTTAAAAAAATACAAATAAACCATAGATTCCATAGCAGCTATTATCACCAAGCTAACACAACAGTACCTAATTGAACTGTTACTTCCCATATCAATTTACTTCAACACTCATTTTTAATGCAGAAGCAAGTTATAACTCGCAATTTCATCATATTCACAAGCAAAGAGAGTTCAATCATTTCCATTTTCCAGTGGGACTTTGAGAAAACTAAAATTGAATACATATTCCTAATCTTCAAAGAAAACGAATGCAGCAAAATAATTACAAAAATTAACACATAGATTATGATAGAGAGATGAGAGACCTCCGCCATTGAACTTGATGGCGCTCTGCAATTTAACAACAGCAGCAGCATCACCCTTGGCGATGGCGTCGTGGAGCTGCTCAAGAGCTTTGTTGTAGTTGGTGACGTAAGTCTGGTGGTGCTTCTGGTGATGGAGCTGCATGATCTCGCCACTAATTGCAGGCTCGAGAGCGCCATAGTCGTACGGAAGGTCGGGAAGCGAGAAGGTCTGAAAGCCACGAGAATGAGCTGCAGAACCTACGGCGAGGATTTTGGCTTCGCTCTGAAACCCTAATCCAAGGGATTTCCTGGCCACGAGAGCTCGAAGAGCCATCGAAGTGTGTTGCTGGAGGAGAGGTACAGAGAGGACGAGAAAGGAGAGGGTAGAGAGAGAGTGAGAGAAGACTTGAGTGAGGTGAGAGCGTGCGTATATAATATATATCGTAGGTGCGAATCTGGGTGCGGTCCTGGGAAAAACGACCCGTGTGCCCAGATACCTTGGGCTATCATTTTCGTCTAAAACGGATCCAAGTTATCTCATATTTCTTTGCTGGGCTTAACCAATTATAATCTAACAACTGTAGCCCATGTGATTTTAGTGGGGTTATGTTATGGACACCAGAAAATTTTCAGTAGACACCCAGCCCCTGAATTTTAGCTCTCGTTTCATTGTCGTCTCTATCTTTTAACAAAAGCATCACGGTCTCTATCTATTAAACGGAGTTTCATGTTTGGTTGTTAAGAAAATGGAGAAGGAAGGAATGAGGAGGGTTTTTTGAAATTCATTTCGTGATAATAATTCAGCTAATGTTTTGGTTTCGGTTTATTTCTTTCACGAAAACGATATAGTAAAGAGATTATTGAAGTTTAAAAACTCATTTGGAAACTCCAGTAACCTCATATTCAAATATTCTTTTCAATGTTTTGGATTAATTGGTGATTTTGTATCCATTTTCTTAACAAGAAATTATTGGGAAAGAAAAGCAATGAACACATTGAACCTTTAGCCATCTTGCTTTGTTATTTTTCTATTCATATTTTTCATTGGGATGAGTAACAATCGTCTGCATTATATTTTTGAATTCTTTTCACGAAAGTATAACATTATATGGTTCGTCTGTGACATGTTTGATGTTGTGATTGATTTCAGGGGAGAAAGAAGATTTGTGAAGAAAATAATGCAAGTATGGTATTGGAGGAAGAACTTCAACACTTGGCAGAAAAGCTAGAGAAGTTGCAAAGGAATTTATGAATTAAGGATTTGGAAGTTCGAAACACTAGTAATTTTGATAAAGAAACGTATTTTCTTGTGCCAACAAGTACATGCATAATGCATATATATCTACCATAGAAGTGAGAATAAAACGTTCATGGATCAACAATACATCCATATCAATGGATCAGGAATTACAAGCCGAAATAATACCACCAGAAAGTCCTGGAGGAGTACCTCAACAAATTGATTAACAATTATGCTAATGGGAGTTTTTTTTAAATTCTTTTTTATTTCAAAGGTCTTGAATATATATCTAATCATGTGCAAATGGTGAGTTTTAGTATAATACAATTATGTTGATTCGGACATACTAAAATTCACTAGATGGGATAAGTTTTATTCATGAGTATTCAATCTTCTACCTTCAATTTGGTTAAAAAGGAAATGACGATAGAGGTGAATGACTTTCCATGTTGGGGGGATTATGTGTGGGAAATCTACTTTTCAGTTGTGATTTCAATTTCTTGCTTGGTATTATATGCATCTCTTATTGGAAATATGCAGGTTGGTGTTATGAATACGTTTATTTCAGAGCTCTCACTTCCCTGTTGCTAAATCTTATATCCATTCATCTAAATGCATTGTTGTTGGATAAACTAGAGACTTCCTTGACAAGAATGTTTAAGTCCTTTGGGACGTCACATGATGAATTGTGTTTTGTTGTGGAACATACATATTAGCAGTAAAAAACTGTAAGATTGGAGGAAACCTCAGTTGCAGATGCAAGAGATTTTCTGATGAGGGGGAGGTGCTGCACCTCCTTGAGCCTTAATAGGTTAGCGAGTAACAGCTTTGGTTTGCAGCAATGGGAACCAAGGGCAACTTGTGTTTCGCAAATAGCATGGCGCCGCTGTAAAAGAGAGAAGCTTCAAAAGTCTCCCAGGTTGGCTAAAGATGGTAGTCTTTCTGCCACTGATCACCATGCTATCTTAGAAACACATCATAAGTAGGTATGGCTAATAAAATGTTAAAGCATTGATGTAATTCAATCAGTGTTTGAAAAATCGCCCTAGGTGGAAGGACACTTCTGACCAAAGTTAATGTTTTAAAAGGCGAGGCGTAGAGACAAAGCGTTTTTATTCGCGCTCTGCGAGACGTAAGCTTTGAAACGTTGAGGTGTAGGCATTTTGAACATTAATTTATTTTAATAAAAAAATGATAAATAATACAATACACAATTAAATTTTACTACTAATTATTGTTGAACCCTAATAATGTATTAAGTATAATAAAATATAAGTACTAATGGTCTCATTCATGCATAATAATCAATCCCTAAATCTAAAAGATTTATTCAACATCAAAACAAAAACACAATTCAGTTCATATATTAGGGTTATACTATAAATAAATAAATAAAGAAGTATATATATCCATGTTAATATATTAATTTATGAAGGTAAAAAAAGCATGTTGTTTGTTAAAAACAAAAAAAATCATGATTAAAAAATAATAAAAAAGGCATGCTGAACGTCAGTTTCTTTAAGTAACTTTAGTGCTAAACAAGAGTTTCATTAACTATATGAAACGAAGTCGTTTCATTACCAACGAACCCTGAAAAAAACACGCGTGGTCATCTTCTTCCTCTCGCAGCCGCTTGCAGAACAGCGGCCCTTCGTCCGCCTCGCCACACGTTGCCATGCCTCTCCAAACCTTGCGGTGCTAAACGTGCAACCTGCTAAATAGATGAACGCTTCAGGCGATTTCCTTACGCCTCGCTCCGACGCGCGCTCCGACACTCGCTTGGTCACCAAACATGTCAAGCTAAGGCTTCAACATTGTTATCAAGGCATTTTGTTTCAGAGTGCCTGCTCATTTAACCAACCAGTGTTTGAAAAATCAGCCTAGGCGGCGCCTAGGCGCTAGGCGGCCGCCCAGAGGGTTTTTATGGTGGCTCTTTCATTTCTCATGTTTTGATGATTTTAGATTCACATGTTAAGCTATGGCTTCAACATTGTTATCAAGGAATTTTGTTTCAGACTACCTGCCCATTTAACCAGCCAGTGCTTGGAAAATCGGCCTAGGCGGCCTCCCAGTGGGTTTTTATGGTGGCTCTTTTATTTCTCCTGTTATGATGATTTTAGATTAACATGTTAAGCTACGGCTTCAACATTGTTATCAAGGCATTTTGTTTCAGACTGCCTGCTCATTTAACCAGTCAGTGTTCCAAAAATCGCTCTAGACTGCACCTAGGCGCTAGGCGCCCGCCTAGGCGGCCTGGGCGTGTCTGGGCGAGTCTGACTCAGAAAAATGAGATGATGATGATGCTATGAGTGGGAGAGAGAGATGAGGATTGAAGAAGAAGATAGGTCTCGGGTTATGTCTGAGCGAGAGAGAGGAGACAGCTCGGGTTAGACTTAGGGTTTGAGAAGGAAAATTGCATTTTTATGTAAAAGGAGAGATGGGCTTTCAACTAACACGTTATGTCACCGTCTTGAGCCAATGTTTTTTGTCCCCCATGGGTATGGGTAATGAGTTCAAGAAAGGGCAAGGCGCAAAAAATGAGATCAAGAAACATGGGCTTCCTTTTGACATCTTGCGGCCAGCCTATACCTCGAAGAAGGAACACCTTCCAGTTGCAGCCAAAACGAAAGACAGACAAAAGAACCCTCCTCCCTTATGCATGGCTGGTGGACGTTCCTGTTCCCGTTCCTGTTCCGGTAGTGAGTAAGCTTGCTTGGGATCATGCACCTCACTCGGAATAGCAATGAGTTTATAAGAGTAATCTGGGCAAGAGGAATCATCTCTTTTTGCATCAACCATTATCTCAATTGCATCCACAGCTCCATAACTGCAGAATGTGATTGGCTAAATTGTTCATAAGTAAATAAATAAATCAAGCTACCTAATTTTGAATGAAATTTGTTCTTTATTTCTTTCTTGGCAGGGAACGCGTCAGGGTGTAACATACTGCCGCTTGTTACGTGAGTATTGTGGTGTTGAGGGGGATGTTGATAAGTTAGAGAATGCCTGTACTCTTAACTGGCACTAGTCCAGGTAAGGATTGAAGAAGGTGATGATAATGAGTGTGTGTATTATGTTATGCTAAGTTAATACTAGTTTCAGTTTTTTTCTTCTACATGATCTCAAAGGTCTAGATTTCAGATTAATTTTTTCTTCAAGGCAATCTCAACTACCCAAATTTCCTATATATGTTTTTAAATCACAACAAAAGAAAAGGCATGGCGGCCTGTTCATTGGAGATTTAACTCATCTGATTAGTACTTTTGGGCTTGTTTTGTGCTTTTCTTTTGCCTTATATGTTGTTTCCGCTATCCAAAAATAAGCAATGTTGTTTTGCCTGATGGTGGTTGTTTAATTCAAGACGTGAAAAAATAGCTCATAAGACATTTTTCGCACTTCCATCACAAAACATGCTTGGCTGGGAAAATAGAGGTTCATCTGTATTGTTTACCTGTGCATGCATTGTAATTTCTCCAATCTAATTGTCCTCTGTGTTCTTAAGTTCCTGATAAAATAGGGTTTTGGTCAATATGTCCTCCACTTGAGTAAATGGCCGAAGTGTTGATGTTAATCAAGATTCGAGACAGTAGTGCATATTCCATAGGGTGGGAGAACCATTCCATAGGGTGGGAGAACCTTGGTTGGTTCAATGTCTATGTCAGGATTGGATTGCTCCTCTGGGTATGAATATATCGAAATCACTTTCTTTTTTTTAAGTATTAGAAACTTTTTCTGATGATTGAAAAAAAAATGTATTTATAAAAATTTGTTTAATCTAATAACAATTTCTTCTACTTGGGCTCGAGTAATCGATGTTATGGACAGTGAGATATGCATTTAACTTGTTCTGTATTCAGTCAGGTTCAAGATTATTTGGTTTTATTGGTGCTGTTGCCACACTTGGACAGCTTTTTGGGGTCATTGTTTGCCATGTATGTTTGCTTATTCAGTCTTTTGGAATTTGATATTTGCTGTGTGTGTGTGTGGTGTTTGTTGTTCTTAGGATGAGCTTTTGTTATATAGTTGTTGTTTTCTCTAGTTTTTCAAGTAATTAACATGAGATTTTCTGTGCAGAATGTTTGCTTTATGCTTACTGAAAGTGTATACTGCCTAGCTTGTTGCATGTTTGCAGCTGTTTTTAAGTTGATCACCTTTCAGCTTTACTGCTGAAAGCAATTTATGGGTCCTATCAGTAAAGAAAGAAAGCTAGTCTCATGCCAGGGATATGTTTCTATTTCTAGACATCCTAAGAAATATTAAATATAACTTTTGGATTTTGGTAGTGTTTTTAGAATGAATGTTGCTCCGAAAGTGCTATCATGGGCATTTATCTATAATCACTTTTCCTGTGTTTTTTAATTTTATGGCACTTTCACAGTGACGTTTTCTAACTTTTGTTGGTTGATATAGCTGTCGGGCCAACTTGGGCGGCTGTCGCAGTTTCTGAGACCCTCCGGAAAGTTTGTATTCTCTCACAGTTATCTTGTAACTCAATTTAATCAAAGATGTCTGCATGCTAGAAACATGATAATTTGACGTAATATGCATAGGTGCATCTTGTTTCCAGGCCTGGCAGAGAACTCCTATTTACTGTTGTCTCACGGGACAACAGTAGGAGAATACATAAGTTCATCTACGAAACTGTGTCACTTGGTGCTTGCTGCTGTTGGTGTCTTAGTTTCCTCTATATGAGAAAGTGCTTTAATAACTTTGGTGCATGCATAATGCATTGACTCGCTTGCTTTGCTACTATAGTAGTATATAATTATAAAGTAAAACACCAAAAAAGGATGTCTTTGCTGTAGCCATTCCACTCTTGCAAGACAGGATCTCTCATTTGGTGTCTTATATTGCATCCATTGTGTCATTTTCAACTTTAAGCGAATCACCAAACTATTTGAAACTCTGTTTCGCTAATTACATGATACTGCAGGTTTGCATTGATGTATTTGTTCAAAGACTTGGAGATATGCTTCAGCAGCAGG